CGTATTCGGTTTCGATAACCCTAATCGACTTGCTAGTTTCTTAGATATAAAGGATACTTGGAAACCTATATCGAACAACGCCAATGCCGTTTTTCTGTGATGTGGTGTTGACGGATTAAAGATAGTTATCTCTTTACATAATAGTAAGGTTTCCATACCTTTTCTTTTCCTAACTGTATTTGTTTGCGACATGATTATCGTGTCTTGATTGGTTGAACAGTCCTTCCCATTATGGATTTCTTCCTTTATTGGGTTTTTGTTTGGATATACTATTCTAATCGCCTGTGTTGAAAATTTATTGCATAGAGCAGTATTGTGGGGAGCTTTGCAGTAGAAACATCTTACCTTCCTGTTGCATTCTTTGGTTTGGTGAGTTGATTTCATACAAACAGTGCATCTCTTCATTTCTTTGAGACGTTTTAGTCGAGAATCCACCGACGCATATGTCTAACACTCATTGTCCCAGTGGTTTCTACCACAAAAAATGCACGGTCTTCTTTGTTTAGTTTATTTTTTATCGAGGATTGAGAAGTCTCATCTCCATTGTAGATGGTAGCTAATGCAGAAGTTCCATTCTGATTTCTTGGATTCTCCTTCTTGTGTGAGGTGTAATTTCTTTCCATAAGAGAGGATGAGAATTGATTTCTTACTTGTTCATTCACGTTGATCAAGTTTCGGAGGAATTTTCTTAGTTTCATTGTTGGATGGGCTGTTGACCATTTTTTGGTGATAAACTTTGTCGAGTATCCACCGAGGTAGTTTACTCCCTATTACGTTTTCAATGTTGGAATGTTCTAGGTCCTCTCCTAGTGTTTCTAACTGTCGAAAAATTCTTTCCATTCCTTCGACAATTTCGATCCATTCCTTATCGTTTCGTTTGATTGACTGTAATTTATTGTACAATAGTTTGATTATTGTCGACGAGTTCCCGTATTTCTCAGTCAGTATTTGGTTGTGTACAGCCGCACTGAACCCGCTCCAAAACTCTCCATTGTCGGGGTTCTCCATGGAGAACCATACTGATGGAGAACCATCAAAGGTGGGAAGGGATAACTGAGGGAGATGATGTTACGATAGGATGTTATTGGTGTTGACTCCGTTATTGGCGGTTTAGAAGTTATTTGTTTGATTTCATTATTAATTTCCTCCTTATACATAGTTAACGTGATGATGGCATTCTTCGCTTCTGCTTTAAGACGAAAACGTTTCGCTTCCCCTTAGCTATTTGTTCGTAGTTTTCCTCATCTTCCTTTTTTATTTTGGATTTTTGGGCCCATTCTATCCACTGCTTATTTAACGCCTCAGTAGGGTCGATGCACATTTGTAGTCAAGAATTTTTTCGTTTATGAGTCAATCTTTGTTTTCATTAATTTGGAGTCGCTCGTGAATTGGTAAGGCTAGGTCTTGCGATTGGATATCCATAGTTTTTACTTCATTAGTTATCTTTTTAGACGGTCTTTAAAGGGTTTAATACTTTAGATAGTGGTGAAAACCATTTTTCCTGCTCTACACCTCACCTCGGGCACCAAACTTTGCTGTGGAAAATTATTTTTTTTATCGAGTCGTTTAGATTTAGAAGGCCTAGCCTTGAGTTAGGATCAAGCAGAACTTTAATTAAAGGCTTACCTTGTGAAGACGTCGAATATACGTT